GGCATTGGCTTTGTGAGGGCAATAGAGTTTCATTTTTCAGTGGAGACTGTAGTTGAGAAGCAAATTATGAATCATGCCAAATTGGTGAGTCTGCATTGGATGGCCCTGTCCAACATCCTTATCATGGTAGGAACAGACTTTCCTCCTGGCACCCTGTGTCTGCACTATCTTGCTGGCCTCCATCTGTCAGAAAGATGGCAGATGACTTGCTGGACTCAGTAGGTCCATCTGCCCTCCCCTCTACAACACAATTTAAATATGAACAACTATGTTTTGTCGTGGTTATATGCAATACTTAATACTTTAATTTGTGTGCTTTACTAAGCAACAATTTGAGAAGGAAAAAGTTAGCTTAACACACTGAATTTATTATGTTGGCTGGTACAATATGCACATTTGAAAACACTTAGCTGCCTTATGTGAAAAATCCTCTTGTCATCGCTTTATTTTTCGAATTTTGCCATTTTTAGTCCTTCACATTATCATCAGTTATCTCACTTTTTTCTCTCCCCTTTATCTTGTTTTTATGATTTTCAGTAAGTAAAACATTGAAAAAAAAAAAAGAAAAAGCAGGTGATAGCTTTGAAAATTTCTTCCTAATTGTCAAAGCCAATAATTCTTTCAATTGTGACTGCTGTAGGGTGTTAGTCCTGAGATTCTAACAAGATTAATGAAGAGAGGGAAAAGGGCACAGGGACAGGAAGTGGAAGGATCTTCACTGTATCAAACTAGTGGAGTCCCGGCTGAAAAGCATCAGCTCTCTATTTTTCCACTTTGAGACGGCGCACCCTTATAATTAAGGGCATACCCTTGTGGATCAATGCTTCAGATCAGAAAGCGTCTCTTGATATTTGGCAAACTTTCAACTTTATAGCAGACCACCTTTGGTGGCACTGAAGGCAGAAAAGCAGGCATGTTTGTGTTCTGATTGTTGGCTTTCTGTACCAATCCATAAAGCCCCAAGGCTGCAGAGAAGAGGAGTGCTTCAGTTCTTTCTTATACCCTAATAGACTAGGGAGGGGATGAAAGGCCTACACAACATGCCTTCCCCTCACCAATTATTACTTATTATGATAAAATATATATAAGATAAAATTTACTATCTCAACATTTTTAAGTGTACAATTCACTGGTATTAAGTACATTCATATTGCTGTGCAACTATCACCACCGTTGAGCTCCAGAACTCTTCATCTGGCAAAACAGAAACTCTTAACACCAACCTCCCATTCCTCTTCCTCATCCCCTGGTAACCACCTTTCCACTTAAGGTCTCTATATTTTGACTACCCTAAGCACTTCATATAAGTGAAATCATACAGCATTTGTCTTCCCCGCTCCTTTTTCTCTGCCTTTACCAATTCCATTTAATCCACTTCAAACATGTTTTCTCTTATGGAAGAGGTTATTCTTTTGAACTTATTCCTTTTTCTTTATCTCTGGGGAAAAAATTTAAATCTCATGCTGCCTCCTTCCACAGTTCTTTATACCATTTATAAGCATCTTGTTAAAAAAAATTAGGGAAGAAGTTACTGGGGTAATTTTCTGACTCTTTGATATAGGTACAAGTTTTGAAGTGTAATTAACCATAACAAAAAGCTACAGCGGCCAACATCTAAAATCCCAGAAACGGCTAAAAGTCCTTTTCAAGATCTCCATAAAGGTTTTAACTCTTTACTCATCTTTAATAAAATTATTGTTTCCCAACAAGAAATGTTTTCTAACTCACTTGTATTGCTTTTCCTTGGAGGCAAATGCTCAGTATTCCAATAATAGTGTTTTCCTCTTTATTTCATGGGAAATGTGTGGATTTCAACTGTGTTATGGGTTAAAGAGGTTTTGAGAACTAGAGTCTGGGAACCAAATCACAACATTTAATACTGCTCATCCAGGAAAGTGTTCTAAGTTCTACATAGCTCCTGGGAAATGAACTTGTAGAAGAATATAACCCATTTATCAACTGGAGACTAAGGGTGTATTATATATTCCCCGATAGCTGGAAGCTGTTGGCCAGGTCTATGCCACAGGACATATGCCGAAGAAGAAGCTGACAACCACATCACAACAGCTGCATGTCCTACCGATCTCCTGGCAGAGTTCCTGGCCATCAGAGCTCAAGACTCATTACCCAATGTCTTGATCCTATACATTCTGTAAACACGCTTTACTTTGAAGACTTATTTTCTTTTTACTTAATTTCTTAAATCTGACAAATACAAATTATATATATTTGTCATGTACAACATGATATTTGAAATATATATACATTGTGGAATGGTTCAATTGAACATTGAAATTGAAATAAGTATACATTGTGGAATGGTTCAACTAACATATGCTTTACCTCACATGCTTATCATTTTTGGTGGTGAAAAACCCATCTGGCTTTCTAATGCATTTTCTTCCACTACATGTTAAAGGAATATGTTTAACTGAGGACATAAAAGACTTTGAAAACCAAATGGGAGAGGATGCTGAAATTGAAAAAGGTTTTTGAGAGAGTAAGTCATGACTGCAGAAATAAGTTTAGAGCAGAAGGCAACCAGCTAATTGTATTATTCAGCAGGAGTTTCTAGGGGGTTCTCAGAAATCATCAAAGAGTTGCAAAACAAAAAGTTAAAGAAACTTCCAACTCTTGCATAAAATGCCAATTTAAAGATAACACATTAGCTGACAGTGTCAGAACTAGAAATATTGATCTATAAGGCTCTATTTCGAACAGGGAAGTACAAATAGCAATTGAGGTCAAATTACTATCAGGGGCTTAGATGCACACACCAGCAGCCTCCGTTTTTCTCTCCATAGATCTGTGGAAGACTGGAGGCATGCCTGCCTTGGCTGGGCAGCCTGGAGATCCATTTCTTTAACAATTAATGGAGATGAAAGAATGTGGCTTTTATTGACTTTTCTTTGTTGAGGTTTCACATTTCAGGCTAAGCCATTCCTCATAAAGAATATTAAATCCCTATCCAAACTTTTTGTACACTTAAGAGCCACTTCCACATTATTTGGCACTTACCTCTCTGCAGTTTACTATATTATTTGGTTAGTTGGTGCATACAAATCTGGCCTCCTCATTAAAATGATGAACACCTTAAAGGCAAGTAAACTGACTTACACCTCATTAGGCTCCCCTATAACACCTACACACTGCCGAGCACAAAGTGGGTAAATAAAACTTGTATATACTTGTCATGGAAAATATGATGTTTTGAAATATGTAAACCTTGTGGAATGGTTCAATTGAGCTAACTAACATATGCTTTACATATTATTTTTTGTGGTGAGAAACCCATCTGGTTTTCTAATGCATTTTATTTTACTACATGTTAAAGAAATATGTGTAATGGAGGCATGTAAAGACTTTAAGGCCAGGCGTGGTGGCTCACACCTGTAATCCCAGCACTTTGAGAGGCCTAGATGGGCAGATGACCAGAGGTCAGGAGTTCGAGAACAGCCTGACAAACATGGCAAAACCCCATCTCTACTAAAAATACAAAAAATAGCCAGGCAAGGTGGTATGTGCCTATGGTCCCAGGTATTTGGGAGGCTGAGGCATGAGAATCACTTGGACTTGGGAGGTGGAGGCTGCAGTGAGCCAAGATTGCACCACTGCACTCCAGCCTGGGTGACAGAATGAGACTGCATCTTAAAAAAAAAAAAAAGTCTTGGAAAACTGAGAGGGTTTAATCAACACATGTTGATTAACTCATGTGATAAGGCCCTGGCATACAATCACAGGCATTAAAGCAATGCCAATTCCACATGCCAATTTCAGCCCAACTTCCTGGGAAGAGTATGATGAAGAATGCAGGCTTGGCACTCTCTGGGAGCCACATCAGAGAAGAGAATCCTTGAATCCTGTGTGTCGAGAAAATAGCTACCACCTAGCGACTATAAACTCCATGAGGGCAGGTATTATGTTTTGTTCCCTTTCCAGCACCTACCACCTAATAGGGACTCAAAAAATGTGTTGAATGGATGAAAAACATGAAGCCATTAGTTTCTTGGATTACTGTCCCCAAATCTTGTGTTATTCTTCATTCATTTATAACCAATGCCTGAAGTTTGGGTGACTCCAGAAATCAAACAAACTTGGCATCCAACATAGTACACAAGGAGCTTATGCTATTCCTCTTAGGCCTCTCTAGCAGTATGTGTGGGAGGGTAAGGAATGGAGAAGGCTGAAAATCAAGGAGGAAGGTCACTGGCCTCCTGGCCTTGGGTCTCAGGACTTGCTGTGGAGAGACAATAGCTGCTGTCAGATTGAGCTCGGGCAACCCCCAGGCGGTAGAACGCTGCTTTGCATGGTCCCTGTCTGGTTGGCAGCTTCCTGCTATGGAAGGCTGCCAAGCAGCTTGTGACAGCTGTGTAGTATACAATTCTCTGGGGTTCTTTGGTGCACTGCCACTTCTGACCTGCCTGTCTGCTACTGGTGGGAAGTAGCTGGGAGGTTCAATTGCCAAGGCACCCCATTTTCCATTGGCTTTCATTTTTCAGTGGGATGCCTGCCTATCTTGTCCTTCAAGATGGGAGTAGCTGGAAGATGGCCTTCGGCTTTTCTGGTCAATAGAGACCTGTTAATTCTGTGTATGAAGGAACGCTATAGTTCACTCTACTCCCAACCACAGTGGGTTTTCAATATGACTGCTTGACCATATTTGTTTCCTAGCATCTTATCACAGTAACTGACATCTGTCATAAACTACCACTAGGAGAAGCCACCTGCCTGAATCATTAAAAAAAAAATTAAAGATAGCATTTTAACCATTTACTTCATTCGAAAAAGATTTCAAAATCTTAATGATTACTATTTGGAATGTTGACACCTTAGGAGATTTTAATAAGGGACCACCTTTTTATATTCTCTTAAAGAAGCGACTTTTACTTAAAGTCGCTGAAAAGTGAACTCAATTTTCCATCAGGAGATGCATAAATCTTAACTTAGATCCTTCTCTGCAGTCAAAGATAAAAGGTTAAAAATGAAATTTCAGGTGTTACCTTTCAGCATCATTCGTCCAGTGGATCCTCCAAAAGTACTGAGAAGACCACTTCTTGCTCCCAAAGAGGTGGTTGCTTCTAGGAGGGAACCAGTGATGTACTGCGATATTGACGTCCTTTGGAGGGTGGCGCGATACTCACATACGGTGTCTCGGACACATTGCTTTAAGCACGGACCAATGCTTATCCTTCCATGGGCTGTCTCAGAGGCTGGGAGCTTTGTGAAGAAATGGAGTAGAGCTCCAACTGTATTTTCAGTTTCTTCTCCTCTTCTCACTGCATTGTAGATCTGTGAATAGCAAAAAGTACAGGAAGTATTAATCTAGTTTCTTAGAAAAGCAAATTAACTTGTTGACAAAATGCCAAGATGACTTATTAAGAAAGAAGGCTCAGATGCTCCAAGTGCAAACACTCTGAGCACTGGGCTCATGCATTAACCTGAACATTCTACAGACACCATCTATTTGGAAAAGCTCTGTGTATAAAGAGCTTTTATAAAGTTATAAAATAGGCCATTCAAGCATCTCTGCTATCAAACAGAGAACTTACCAGTCATACCAACCAAAAATACACTCAGCTCAAATTTCTCCTCCTCAGCAGAGCAAAGCTCTTCTGCAGAGAGATGAGGGCAGACCTTTCTCTCTTGTCCTCCTGAACACTCCTGAATGACCGTCCATGTCTGTCTTCCTCGATTGAGTGCTTCAGCCTCAATGGACTTTTATGGGAAATCTTTTCTCCATGCTTAAACTGAAGTGAAGATGAGAGGGTTATGGGGAAAGAGAACTTCCCTATTTCTCCCTTGGGCATAATCCTTCAAACTGACAGCTGAGATCAAAGTCTTTGAATCATTTTTTCTCTTCCTCCTCCCCACCTTCCACATCCAATGAGTTGATAGATCCTGCTTACTCTTCTTGCCCCATCGATGTCACTGTCCTGATTTCTTCTCCCTTTACCACCTGAATTCACCAAGCATTGTCTCAAGAAGATGGCAGTGTTAGGACAGGTCCCCAACCATGTCCCCAATCCATTTCAATGCAGTCATTCAGCATGCATGTATAGCCCCTGCTCTGCACAAGGCACTGTGTTGGAAGGTGTGGGGAAAGTGCAAAGGACAGCACACATCTCTCATGCTGCTGCAGGATTTCACAATCTTCAATGAGGCCTGAAAATTATAAGGTTTGACATTATTGAAGGGAGGATTTGGAATTTGTCAAGCATTCTGAGAAGCCAGAGACTGCTGGATAATATATAAAGAAACACGGGAGAGACATAACATGCAGTGAGGTAATCTGGTTCTCTGATGGGGGAATAAAGGTGTACTACATTGTGCTCTCTCTATCATATCCCTTGAGCACTTTGCCTTGGCTGACTTGTCATTCATTCATCAAACCAACAAATAGTTACTGTTTATATACAAGAAACTGTGACAGGGCCAGATAAATAAAATTGTTTCTCTCCTCAGAGTTCACAGTTTAGTAAAGGAGACAGAAAGAAAAGCCAGGAGCTTAGAGTAGGGTGGAAATGAAGGTCACCTCCTTCGGTGACATTGATGAATGGCCAGGGAATAGAAGACTCTCACTGTCCCCCGGGTCATGCATGTGCCCCCATGATGTTGCATCCTCCAAATCTCATCTTAACTATGGCCCATGGACACTCAAGAGGGCCTCTCTTGAGCTGTGCTAGGTCCTTATAAAACCCCAGAATGCACCCAGAATCCAATTATATTCAAACTGTGTAGACCCTAACCAGATTTTGTCTGTCTTCCTCTGTCTACTGGTATATATCTGCCACTTGAAGGTGCAGTGTGAATTCTTACCTTTAATTCTCTATTCTGTGTCATTAAATTTCTGGTGGCCAGCATGGCCATGGAGATCGTGTGCTAGGACAGAAAGAGCCCAGGTTTGGGGTCAGGTACATGAGGTTGTACACCTTACTGCCTTCACCAGTTAGGGAGCTGGTCATAAGTGTGAACAAGCTGACTCAAATGTTTCAAGACAGCTTGCTCCTCCATAAAATAGGGATAATAACACTCTACTTAGGGAGGTTGTGGGATTCACCAAGATAAACATGTAATATACTCAGCCCAGTGTCTAGAAATGATGGTCTTTACTGTTGAAAAAGCCTATAAAAGAGAATACACTCTTTTAGCCTCAAGGAATAATAGGTGATTGTATAACTATAGACCATAATCTATGAAATGCAATGTGATTGGAGTTATGCCCTTGCTCTTCTGTGTTTCTGGGCAATATTATCCTAACCTTATTTGGGTGTACTGTGAGGGCAAATGGGGGTAGAGAACTGCAGAGCTCAAGACATAGTTTTCTTCTCTTGGCTCCAAATCATATAGGCAATCTCCAACACACTAAGTCCCATGTAAGTCCTTCAGAAGTAACTGCTCCAGCTGTTTAAGGAAAAGAACTGACTGAAACTTGATGGCTAAGGAAGGCTTAATAGGGAAAGCAGGGTTTGACCTGTGCCTTGGAAAACAGGCATGTCTCTAACTGGAACAGCTGGGGAGACAACTCACCATGCAAGCAATAAGGATATCCAGCAGAGCAGGGTGTCTAGAGCAGGCTGTGAGTGCAGGGAGTAACTGGGGAATGAGAAAGGTCAGGGAATAACTGGGGAATGAGAAAGGTCAGCTGGCTTGATAAAGGAGAGCCTGGAATGTTAAAGCAAGAGCTTTCACACATCAGAGGCGGGCACCCTTGAGGGTTTTTTGCTGGTCTGTTTTCAGCAAAGGAATGATGCTAAAAAGGTTTTGTCTTGAAAAGATGACTAAGCTGGCAATTCCTAGTTCCTAATAGGTTGGCCTACTTTCTATACTTGCCAGGCTGCTCCGCTGGCTCATTGTGTGTTCACTCACTACCACGCATTCCAGTGTCCACATCAGGCCTCCACAGATTCCCCATCAGGCTTCCATAGACTCACAATGGCTTCTTCAGCTTCTTATCCAGATTTTCCAAAATGTTTCCCTCAAAACATTCTATCTACAAAGGATCATATGACCTAAGGACTCCTTGATCATGAAAGTTTTTAAAAAACTCAGTAAATCTCTTCTCCTTTTGGAGGTTTACATTGCATAGTAGAATATTAAAGACAATTAGAAGGGTCAGAGTAAAGAATTATTTTAATTTGCTTAACGGAGTATTTCCCATGTTATTTGACCATTTTGTTTTTAAGAACAGAGCCTGTAGATGTAGTGCTGTGCCAAATAATTAATTTGCTTTAATCTAATGGTCTTATTCCCATTTCTTTGACCTTTGCAGAATCTCTGAAATAGGCAATCATCCATCCTTCTTGAAGTCCTTCATCTCTTGTCATCTCATTGTTCCATCTCTTCCTTATTCTGTGTCTCCCCTTCCACCTCTGGCCTTCAGGACAGTAATAATGCAATAGAAAGGTACTAACAAGTACCTAATGTGTTGAAGGGGGGGTCACAAATCAATTGACCATGGGCCAGATTCAGTCAGCAGACCTGTTTCATCTGACATACACTGTTTTAAATTCAGGAAAGTTTTACATATCCATCTGAAGTTACAGCATCTCCTGAATAATGAAACAATCTGATAACACTGAGCATTCCTACATGGTATCAAATGGCTAGACCTTCTACTGTGAGATGGGGCATGAGTTCTTCACTGGATGCCAGTCCCAACCATTCATTAGTGCTCAAAACTGGACAATATCTGGTTACCATCAGTATATGTGTTTGTGACCCTGTCTTAATAAAATACAGATATGGATATAGATATTTACAACAAACATGTACTGAGCTCCCTCAGTGTATCCTCTGTGCGATCTTGGCTGTGCTAGTTGCCGAGGATAGAGAGAAAGCCACAGTCTCTGATATCAAAAGGTATTGCAAATCACCTCTAAGAAACTATTAATAAACATATATAAATGCTATGTTTATATTAAGTAATATTTAGCATTGTTATCAGCCACATGTTTCTAAGGCCCCAAACTTGTCTGAATAAATAAAAGATGAAGTGCTCTATGAATGAAGCTCTGAGCCAACATCCTTGCCAACACTGTCACCACAAAGAACCAGAAAGAGATCAAAAGTTACTACCAAGATCTGAAATCATGCATCCCAGTCACATCAATCCTGGATGAGAGAAACTCAAGGTGATTTGTTGGAAAAATGCTGAAGCGTGGACAATGTGGTGGTAGATATGGCAATGTTCAGGGAACCTGTCAAAATCAAGGTATTGGCCAGGCGTGGTGACTCACACCTGTAATCCCAGCACTTTGGGAGGATGAGGCAGGCAGATCAGGAGGTCAAGAGGTCGAGACCATCCTGGCCAACATGGCGAAACTCTGTCTCTATTAAAAATACACAAATTAGCTGGGCATGGTGGCACGTGCCTGTAATTCCCGCTACTTGGAAGGCTGAGGCACGAGAATCACTTGAACCCAGGAGGTGGAGGTTGCAGTGAGCGGAGATGGCACCACTGCACTCCAGCCTGGCAACAGAGTGAGACTCCATCTCAAAAAAAAGAAAATCAAGGTATTCATCTCTTCCTAGATCACAGATGAAAAAGAAGAAATCATAGAAAAGCCCACATATAGAGTGTGAAGAAGAGACAGCAGAGAACAGTCATTACAAGTATGACTCTGGAGCATTGGTTTGAATTCCAGCTCCCATGCTTTCCAGCTGCGCAACCTTGGCTAAGTTCCTTTGCCATTCTGTGCCTCAGTTTCCTTTTCTCCAATATAGAATATAATAGTATCTGCCTCATACGGTTGTGACTAGAATTACACACTCTGATAAATGTAATATGATTAGAACAGCACCTGGAACTTAGTAAGCACTCAATAAATACTAGTTTTTATGATGACAGTGATGATGAGGATTGTGGCCAGCAACTAAAACGGCCATGAATTATTTCCCTCACTGACGATGTGCTGGAACTGTGATTTCCTTAACTAATGGAAATTTAGCAAATGTGATGCAAGCAGTTTAAACAATACTTGTGCTTTGGAGCTTGCTCTCTCTTGTTGCTTCTGGAAACTCTGCAACAACTACCGTGTGAAGAATCCTGAACTAGATTGCTGGAGGAAGAGAAACCACGGCCCGGTCACTCCTGTCACCTTGGCTGATAACCTACCAATAGCCAGACACATAGTGAGACCATCCTAGATCCTAGATCATCACTTGCCAGTCCAACTGCCACCACAGATACATGAGAGACCCCAGCAGAGATCAGTTGATCCAGACTAGAACTACTCAACCAATTCACAGAATCATGGGCTAAATAAGTGATTGTTTTGAAAAGTCAGTAA